AGGAAGTGGGGTAAGACGAGGAAGACGTGGCCATAGCCACCAGTTAGGAGGTAGATGACAGCCATAGTTGTCTATTAGGAGGTTAGTAGATGTGTGTGTTGTGTGTGTGTGCGGGGCATCCAGGGTGATCCAGAGTGCGTGCGTGTGTGTGAGTAAGTTGTTGGGTGATACAGTTGATCAGTTGGGAATCTCTATCTGGCGCTCTGCGCCATAGCCAGCCGGACAAGTTTGAACCTGAGTTGTGTTCCTGGCCACGTTTATCTCCGAGTTTTGTGTGGGTGCAGTGCGCCAGGTTTGATTGTCATATGTTTGCACGCATGCTGAGTGTTGCAGAAGACAAGTCTGATTGCAGATACCTATCAGACACAAGTTCCATCTGCATCATGACAGCATGTACTATATGTTTATCTTATCCTTAACACTCTTTAAGCGGATAGCGGTCCTCGCGTAACAGTCCCGCGAGAGGCCGCTCACCGTTGTTGGGAAACGCGTGGAGACCGGCAGGCGGGCCCAACTGATACCGTGTGTGTCTTTCGGGCCGCGAGTGAGCTTGGGTTGGACGGCCCTATAGAGTTTTCGGGATCCGTGCCAGGCGAATCCCGAAAGTTCTATCGGGCCGTCCACTCGGCGATCCTGACGGTTGTCGCGGGGCCCGCTTTTTGTATTTACGTGCCAGCGGGACTCCGTTCGATGCGACTCGGTTCGCCGAGGACTCGCGACTCGGTTCGATGCGACTGGGTTTGACGCGACTCGGTTCGACGATCAGTTCGATGTGGCTCGGTTCGACGATACCTGCTGTTTCCCGCGATCGCTTCGCTGTTTCGATTGGGACGGAGGGACGAAAAGAGAGAGAGAGAGAGAGAGAGAGAGAGAGAGAGAGAGAGAGAGAGAGAGAGAGAGGCGAAGTCGGGACGATAGAGGAGGTTCGGGAAGACGACGGGAGGGAGAGAGAAAGAAAGAGAGACAGAAGGGTCGAGGTAGGGGAGGGAGGAGGGAGGGGGATCGGGATAGGAGGGATTCGGGATCGAAGTTGCGACGAGGGGGAGAGAGAGGGAGGATGGAGGGACGAAGAGAGAGAGAGAGAGAGAGAGAGAGAGAGAGAGAGAGAGAGAGAGAGAGAGAGAGAGAGAGAGAGAGAGAGAGGCAAAGTCGGGATGGGGGAGGAGGGGGGTCGAGATACGGGAGAACGGAGGGAGGGAGAGAGAAAGAGAGAGAGAGAGAGAGAGGTTGGCGTAGGGGAGGGAGGAGGGAGGGGGATCGGGATAAGGGGGATTCGAAATCGAAGTCGGGATGGGGGGGAGAGAAAGGGAGGACGGAGGGACGGAGGGACGGAGGGACGAAGAGAGAGAGAGAGAGAGAGAGAGAGAGAGAGAGAGAGAGAGAGAGAGAGAGAGAAAGAGTACGCCAACACGCAAGTCTCCAAGGCCGCCCCTGGCCTCGCGTAATTTCCATCGAAAGGATGAGCAAAATCGATCGAATCTATGGGAGTCGGGATAGGGGAGAGGGAGAGGCGATGGAGAGAAGATCGACGAGGGGAAGGGAAGGAGGGGAGGGAGGGGGGAAGGGTTTTTTTTTTTGTTTTTTTTTTGCAGCGCACATCAGTGTGCCACGTGGCACACGACGGAAAGGAGGAGGAGGGAGAAGGGATCTATGGAGGGACAGATCGGGATAGGGGAGAAGTAGAGGCGATGGAAGGAAGGGGGGAGA